GGGGCCACCAAAAAGCCAGAGCAGAGAATGCAGGGGTTCCCCCCAACCTCTGCCGCTGCCTGCCCTCTCAGAGCCCTGTCACTGAGGCCATTCTCTGTTGCCCCCCCACTTGAGGAGGACAAAAGAAGACCATTCCCCCCAAACTGGGAAATAATGCCAATGCCCCAGGCCCACCTGCAGTGGACTCCACTCGGCTGCCCGGCTCTACTGTCTCCAAGCCAGGGGAGGCCGCCTCACTCTTGCCAAGCCCAGATAATACCTCCAAGAGACTACTGTGGAAGAATCCTGCCTTCCAGACGTGGGACCCTGGGCATGTGACCTGGCACTCAGAACCGTTGTAAAAAGGGACCTTGGAGCCAAGGGCAGAGGAAAATAAAGAATTAAAAGCCATCCCAGGAAGTAGGGAGGTAATGCCTGTAGCCATGCTGAAAACCTGAAGGTAAATCCTCAGAAGCTTATAATTCCAGAGCTGGAAAGGCAGAGACAAGAGGAACCCTGGTACTCAGTGGCCAGCCAGCCCTGCCTACTTGGCGGTGGGGGGTGGGGGAGTTCTAGGCCAGGAAAAGCTATGTCAAAAAAACAAGGCCCCCACTAACGAAGTGACTCAGCCTTTAAGAGAACTTGCTGCTCTTGCAGAGGACTTAAATGTGGTTCCCAACATGCCCATCAAGAGGCTCACAACTGTTTGTAACTCCAGCTTCAGGGGTCTAATGTTCTTTCCTCGCCTCCATTGGCACCTGCACACACATGTATAAACACACATTATACACGCAAGTAAGAATAAAATAAATCTAAACCAAAAAGGTGTGTCAGGCACAAAGGTCTTTAATCTCAGCACTTGGAAAGCAGAGGTTGACTGGCCTCTGTGTGTTCAAGGCCAGCCTGGTCTACATAGTTGAGTTCCATGTCAGCCAGGGATAGATAGTGAGACCTTTTAAAAATAAAAATTAAGATGAATGGCTCCTGCGAAACCACACATGAGGTTGACCTCTGACCTCCACATGCACATGCATCTACATACATGTGCACCTGCACACACGTGTGTGCTTTATCTCTCACTATTCTGCTGTTGCTGCCCAAACCTAGAACCCTAATGAATCTCTTCGGGACCCTTTTGAGGAGTTGTGGAAGCCAGGAGCTCACCCCTCCAGGCAGGAACATGCACAGAACAAGGCCTCCCAAAGTCACCTGGAAGCCAAATTGAGACCCCCTGTTCTACAAAAGCTCTTCAGACCAGACTCAGCCCCAGGCTCTAGCCAACACCAGCATTCACAGATACTCAGCAATGTCTCTGCCCCGAAACTGACCCTCCCAGGGGTACTGCTCTTGGGACAGGAGCTCTGTGCGTCCCTGGGTCTGACGCCAACCATGACTTGGAGATGGCAGAGCCGGGAATGCCTTTGGGTGGGTCATTCTCTGAGGACTGGCACTCTCGAAGCTGTCTGCCAGCCACAGCATCCACACAGGTCCCTAAGCAGAGTATGGGTCCTCAGAGAGACAGCTCCAGGACAAAACTGCTCATTGTTTCTTTTTTTAAAAAAGCTGTGTATGTGTGTGTGTGCACGTGTGTCCATGCGTGTGTGTGCGTGCGTGTCTGCATGTGTGATGCAACCAGTCTATGGACACACGTACAAAGATAAATGCAGGCCTGGGGTGTGGTGTTTGTTCCAGCTTCTTCAAGCATGGACCCTGTTGTAATTTCAAAGTAAACACAAGGACAATAGCCACAAGGCATTGTCGGGATCCAAAAGAGGTGACGTCAGCATGGGAGCCCTTGCATGGGAGCTGTGGCCTTGCTCTTCGCACAGTTGTGCACACCCTGGGTGAGTCCTTAGTATTATACTTCTTTTCACACACGTGGAGGTCGGGGAGATGGCTCAGTAGGTAAAGATGCTTGCCGCCAAGCCTCATGGCCCGAGTCCCGTCTGTTGGACTCACATGGTGAAAGGAAAGAACTGACTGACTCTTAAAAATTGTCCTCCAACTCCCACGTGTATACTTGCAAAAGGAAAATTAAATAAATTTGAAGTCACATGTATTTGAGTGTGTTAAAGTTTCAGTTCCCTATCAAAGCCTTCTATGTGTGCATACATATGTAAGTGTGTACGCATGTGTATGTTTCTGTGATTCAACCTTCTGGGGCTCCTCAATCCTGCTCTCTCTGCAGCACTGGGAGTTGCTCACAGAACTGCTAAACAGTTTCAAAGAGAGGCCCCCATCCCCAAGTGAGAGAGGAACTCTGAGATGGAAGCCATGCTGGTGGTGAGGATATGTTCTCTGCAATATAAAGGGAAGTAAGGTCCCCAACCTTCTAAATTCAAGTGTTGGGATGAGGACAGAGGAGGAAGGGAGGAAGAAGGGAAGGAGCGGGATGGGAGGGAAGGAGAAGGGAAGGAAGGCAAACAGACAGGATGTCCAGAGGTCAGAGGCAGAAACAGGAGAGGCATCTCTGCTGACCCAAAGGGAGCAATTGCAGTCTCGTTGGTGCTGGGTTGCTCTGTGGTAAGTTGAGAGGTAGCCTTTGGGACCAGGCCGCTGTTGCCCAACTCTGAGAACTTGAATGGTGCCACTGACCACTGAGGCCATGGAGGAACAAAGGAGCTCGGAAAGTGTCCTCTGGCCTCTGCTTCAGGGTGTCCATCAGACACTGTCGACTGTCCCTACTCCGGGGGTCTGATCAGAACAAGCCAGCTTGCTGGACAGGGGTTGGTGTGATTCAAATGGGCTAACAAAGGTCCTTGTAGGGCAAACCTCGAAGGCTTCTAAGGCTATTGGCCTCATTCACCCCAGGGTCACCAGCCACCCTATGCCCTGCTTACCTCCCATCTCTCTAAAGCCAGAATCCCAGAGCAAGAAGCTCCGAGAAGGAAGGTCTAGATAACCTAGCCAGATAAGACAAGGAAAGTTTCTATGGGTGCAGCCAGCATTCCAGCTTTCAAAGCACCCCTATTTCCTGCGAGGAAGCATATACCCTAGGTTAGCCAGTACCCTAGCCATATGGCCAGATTAAGGATCTGGGAAGCCCAAGAGAGCAAGGCTAGTGCAAGGTGAACCCTGGGCCAGATCAGCTCTTCCGACGCACATAAAATTGGTTGGGAGATAGAAGTGGGAACCAAAGACCTCAGGCTGCTCTCTCCATAGCTGTCCCATACTCAGAGCCTAGAACCTCAGCCAGGAATGAAGCCTTTGCTCACTGTCCCTCTACTGCCTCCTCCATCCCTTTCCCCTCTTCCTCCCCTCTCTCCATCCCTCAATCCTTTATTTCTCTCTTTCCCTCCCTCCCTCCCTCCCTCCCTTCCTCCCTCCCATCTTCAAGGCTTATCCAACTGAGTATACTGCCTGCTCCTCACCTGCCTTGTTCACTTCACCCTACTGGCCCTGAGGCCCTGGGCAGCCCCCAGCGAAAGCCAAGGCGGTTTCAGGAAAATGCTGGAAGGTGACTGAATGTGCACCCTCCAAGTTATCTCCAAACTGGTACGGCAGTCCAGGAACAAACAGTATCACTGTTTGTCGTCCAGGGTCTGTGTTCTCCTTTCAGACCTGGAAATTCCAGCGGGCAGCTGCCTGGAGACAGGGGAGTAGAGCTAGTGCCATTGTCTCCCTCCCCGACCCCAGTGCCATGAGAAAAAAGCAAGGGCTGAGGTGATGGCAGGACCAGCTCCCCATTTCCTCTTTGCCAGCCCAAGGCAGGGCAATCAGGTCATGGGCACCCCTGGGGCTGTGCTTCCATTCCCTTTGCTGCCACTGGGATGGGTAGAATTTACACCCTGACAAACCACTGCCTCCCACACTGCTGCTACTACTGGCAGAGTCTGGGCCTGTCTAAGGGAGCTGCCGTGAGCACTGTCCACCAAGGTGGGCACCCATCCCTATGCCACCACCTTCTCTCTTTTCTTTGTGGCCTTCAGGAGGTCACCACCACCGCAGGATTCTGCTTTTGTGGAATAAGATTCCCCCTGCCTTTTCCACTCTGAGAAAGGCAAAAGGTTGTGGGTGAGCAAAGCCAGGCATGGAAAGTGGGGAGATTGCATTTACCATACAGAAGAGTAGGGGGCCAGGGTCTGTTACTGCCCTGCCCTAGTGCCACTGTCAGCTGCCAGGGTGGCCAGCCTTTGGATCTAGACTGGGCAAACAAGGCCCTATGCCCCAGCATGCCTGGGTCCCCGTGTGCCTGGACCTGGGCAGAGCCTTGGTCAGACTATTAGAGAAAACTGAGGTGACCATACAGTGACTTTTGTCAGGCCAGTCCGGCAGTAGCCATCCCAGGATGGAAGAGGACCAGAAGTAACACCAGCAGAGCATCCTGGCTCCTAGCATCCTCCAACATACCCACAGCCCTGGTCCTTAGAATCCCTATGGGCACTGCTTGTCCCAGCCCTGCAGACTGTGCCTCTGCATGCCCCACCCCTCAGGTCTCTGGGGCAGTCCAACTGTGGAATAGCTTAGGAGTGGGACATTTCAGCTATCAAAGTGGCTTGCAGAGCACTGTAGTCTGGTGGCATATTGACCCCTATGACCATCCTGGGGCTCAAAACTTACAGTACAGGAACCTAATTTATTTTGTTCGGTCCATTTCCCAAGCATAGGTGGTTGTGGGATGTACTAGATTCCATAATGGCCGTGAAACACATTTGGAAAATCACCTGCCCAGGCAAGAGGCTGAGGTCAGAACAGGGACCCGCTCCTGTACCTGCCATGGCTATGCATTTCAGCCATCCTTGCTCAAACTGATGGATGAGCCTTGGGTCTCTGGTTCCAGTGCAAAAACCTGGCATACCTGATCACAGTCCCACCCAATGGGTGTGGCCTCCCTCCCAGCTGCCAGTTTCCCCATCAGGCCCTAGACCTTGCCACAGCCTTTTCCATGTGTGGGAATGTGGGGCAGAACTCCATCCACAGTCTAGAACTTCCTGACAGGTTGGTTTGGGCATTGCTGACCCAGGAACCTCCTACTGACTCTGAAGAACAAGAGACCAGACAGCCAACAGAGACGAGGGTGAGTCCCCACAGTTTATTATGGAAGCCAATAAAAGAGCCACATTGAGTATTTCACAAAATGCATGACATTCATTGTTGTGATATGCAACATGGAATATTATATACACATCAAAACCACACGACAGGCAAAACACACACGCGGCACCAGCTCATACCAAAAGGAAACACACAAGTGCTTTATCAATATTAAAACAACTGTGATAAAAACATATTAATATTTTGAACCATGTTTACAATAAAGAACAATTCATATTTTACTAAATAACAAATATTTAACAGCAAAAACTTTATACTAAATATCTATTTTGAATTATAACAAAAATAGTACTTATAATAGTTTATAAAGACAGACACAAAATTATAACATTTATGAAAAAAAATGTGTATAAAATAATAGAAATCTGGGCAGGGTCAAAATGGTTGCCCAGAACGCACACGCCAGCGCCTAACTTTGAAAGTGCTTCAATCTGCAAGCCCGTGGCAGGAAGTTCTGTGGGGTTTAATTTTTTAATGTCAAGTTACAATAGTTAGGAATGTGAGAGAACATCACCCATTAATGCTACCACAATGAAACACACGAGCACGGGACAGACACATCTACAGAGGGCACCTGGGCTAGGCCCCTTTGCCTGTCACCTCTGAGACCCATCCAGGCAGATAGTCTTTTCTTCCTCCCACCCTCACAGGGATCCCCCTCAGCTTTTCCTTCTCCACACCTCCTGGGCTGGCCCCCCAAAAGGGAAGACCCCTGAAGCCTGCTGGGGCCCTCCAGTGCCCCTGCCCCTCGCCAGGGCCAGGGTTACTGCATGCATCTTCAGTCCAAACTGGATGGCTGCAGGCAAGCGGGGCTAGCGCGCAGGAAAACGAACCTTCCAGGCACTGAGCTGGTTTGGGGGGCAGCATGCACCTATGTCATACACTTTGATGAGTCTTTACACATTTTGGTCTGTTTCAGATCTGGGAAAGGAAATCGAGGGATTATACTTATTTTTAAGTCCACGTTAATTTTGCTGCTAACATCTGTGCTAATGTTCTTGCTTGTGTTGGTTCTGTCAGGAAAATGCAGGAGACCGCTGAAACATCTGGGAAGCACAGCTTACAGAGGAGTCCCGCTTAGCTGGTGAGACATGACAGTGGCCATCTAGGGTCAGGTTGATGTGGGATGCCATTCTGTGTTTTTATTTTCTTGCGAAGAGGACCCACTGCCTTTGTAACATACAAAACAATGGATGGAAAACAAAAGCAAATAGAAATCTGAAAACAGACAAAATTGCCTAGAGACTCACCAGAGCCCCACACCCTTCCAAAAGGGGTCCTGAGTGGCCAGCCCTCAAAAAAGAGAGGCAGGAGCCCCTCCTCCTCCACCCAGTTGCCCCCACTGGCTGCTCTGCTACTGAACCACGTCTGATAAATCACACCTATGCCTGTCCTCTTCCTCCTTCTGGTCTCCTTCTCTAAGGCTTTCTATGGCAACCTCCTCGCAGTGTCTCCAGACCCCCTGGGGCCTGAGCCTTTGCAGAGGGAGGGCTCTCTCTACCTTACCTCTTTGCTTTCATCTCTGCCCACACCCTGAGCTGGGCTTGGCAGACAGTGGCATGGGGGTGGGGTGGGTTTGGGATGGGGGTGGGGCGGGGAACTCTCCCAAGAGCAAAGGGACAGAGAGTGAGGGCTAAGGAAGGGAAGGCAAGAAGTCCCTTCAGGATTTTTTTTTTTTTTTTTTTTGGTTTTTCGAGACAGGGTTTCTCTGTGGCTTTGGAGCCTGTCCTGGAACTAGCTCTGTAGACCAGGCTGGTCTCGAACTCACAGAGATCCGCCTACCTCTGCCTCCCGAGTGCTGGGATTAAAGGCGTGCGCCACCATCGCCCGGCTAAGAAGTCCCTTCAGGAGAACCCGTATCCTTACACATCCTCACTTGGGAAGTGGCTGGCACTGGGGCAGGCAGTGAGCGAACAGGAAGTGGTGGCCCCAGATGCGCAAGCCCAGGGCTTTAACAGATGCGAGGAGGTGATAAAAACCACCAGGCAGAGACATTGGGTGTCTGACTCTGACATTAACCCTCACCAGGGAGCTGGGTTAGACCAGATACCTGTCTGCTTGCCTCACATAAACCCTGAAAAGGAGAGCCAGGACAGAGCTGGTGATGAGTGGGGTGTGTGCTCCAGACCTCAGTGTAGCCAAGGTCAGTGAATAAATATGGGCTAGGGAGCAGGGGTGGGCAGCTGTAGCCAAAACCACCTGGCTCAGTGGGTCCCATAGGGGAGGAGTGCCAGTGTGCCTGCCCAGGGCCACCAAGAAAGATGCTGGGGATTAAGCCTATAGGCTCCTGTACCCCAAGGTCAGAAGAGAGAACAAATAGCAGCAATAGGTAATTTCCAATGTCCAGACTGGTCAGGCTGGTGCAGGGTACCCTCAAGGCTGGAGGCAGCTCTTGCCCTGCCCAGGTTAGCTTAGGTGAGAATCCCCAAGATGCTGTTCTGGACACATTTGAGCAGTGAAAGGAGGCAGAGTGAAGGGTGCCAAAGAGTGCTCCAAGGGGTCCCCCTCTTGTCTTCCCTTCTGCCTTCACAACCACCAGACCACCAACAAAAAGACAGGGAGTAAGAGGAGGGAGCGTTCAGAGGCTATATAGCATATTCTGCTCTATGGCTCAGCCAACTGGCGCTAACACTGTCGTGGGCACACAGAGCCCTGTCCCGGCCCTGTCTCAGGAGCTAAGCTAGGGGGCAGTGGAGATCCAAGAGAGCAGGAGGCAGGAGGGGGCGGGGCCCTTGTGGATTTGGGGAGGGTTTGCCAGAGAAGAGGCCAGAGGAGGACAACATAGGGGGACTGCTGGCCTCCCACCCAGCCCCCCTCCTCACCCCACAGGTTTCTGTCTCTGTCCCCCACCCCTCTGCTGGGCTGGGCTGAGACCAGAGCGAGGCTACACCGTAGCACTCAGCATGGCCTCTGTCTCAGGCAGAATCTTATTCTGATTGGAGTCCAGACCAAAGAACTTGACACTGAGGCCATCCACAGGGTGCAAGACGGGGACCAAAGTGATGCGGGGGAAGGTCCGGGTGGCCAGCTCGAAGCGGCTGGTGCTGGCCAGCTCCACCGCCAGCACCTTCAGGAACAGCTTGGCCAGGTGTTTGCCCAGGCAGGTCCGCACACCACCACCAAATGGGAGGTAATGGAAGCGACCATCCTTGTCCTCGCTGCGTGCCTGGCTGAAGCGGTCAGGGTCAAACACGTTCACATCCTTGAACACAGGCGCTGTGTCGTGAGTGTCTCGGATGCTATACATGACACTCCAGCCCTTCGGGATCTGGAAACCCTGGAGGACGATGGAACAGGGGGTACAGTGGTGAGAGCCAGAAGAGGCCCACTTACCTGTCCTCATCCTCAGCTGTTCACGGCCTGTCTCTGACCAAAGGCATGCCCCCCCACTCCCCACTCCCCTACCCCCCACTTGTTAGTTCAAGTCTCCACATGGTCACAAGCAGTATCCCATGTGACACACAGGTTGGCTTCATTTAGCTCTACATTTGGGGTCTCTCCCACAAGCCTGAAAGCTACTAGAATCAGGCACCATTCCCTGCCTCCCATCCCCTACCCCCATGCTGAGGACCCCAAGATAGCCACCTTTTCCTGGCGTTTAGCCAAAGCCCCAGCCACCCCACTACCACGGTGACTGGAGCCCAGTCTCACATCCAGTTCGAAGGTCTGCAGCACAGTACGGTAGCCACCAGAGATGGGCGTGAAGAGCCTCATGACCTCCTTGATAACGCAGTCCAGGTAGCGCAAGCCGCTGAGCGTGTCCAGGCGCAGGGTACCCTCACAGGGGCAGCCACCACCATGCAGCAGGCCCTGGGCCCGCAGTTCCTCCCGCAGTTTCTCCAGCACAGCAGGGTGCTTCAGCAGCTGCATGATCAAGGATGTGCTGGCACTGGCTGTGGTGGCATAGGCGGCGAAGATCAGCTCCAGGGTACCATCCTGCAGCAACAGAGAGACAGGCACACAGGTTAACCTACGCAGCTGGCTTTTTCTAGAGCCCATCTGCACTGGGCCTTACCTTCTGGCAGCCAATACTTTTGTTCTGAGCTTTATTCTCAAAAGGCTCCTGGGGGACGCAGCTTGACCCCCAGCCTGACTGGAAACGCATTGCTATGACTTAGGGCAGGACAGAGGCCTGCTGGCTCCAGAGCTTCGGTCACTTTTTGCTTGGTGCTGGGACTCATGGCCAGCACCAGCAGGGCTGCTCAGTGAGCTCACAGGAAGAGAAAGGACATGCTGCAAGGGCTCTGTAGAGTGTGTGTGTGTGTGTGTGTGTGTGTGTGTGTGTGTGTGTGTGTGATGGGTACTAGGTATCTATACCCCCAGTTTTTTCCTCCATCACCAGAAGAATTGGTCAGAAGGGCAGGCAGGATCTAGAAGCAGCACAATGCAGCAGCCAGGAGGACCCAAGAGGGATCTGCAGTGGAACCCAGAGGTTCCATCATCCCAAGGTCTGAGTACTTGCTAATGAGGCTACAGCAGCTTCTCCCCAGCTTCCTGGGAGAAGTCTAGATACCAGGTAAAGGGGTGTAGAATGGGGGTGTGGATTGGGCATGAACAAGCCTTCCCAAGTAGAAGAGTTCCCCAGACAAGACTCTCCATGCAGGACCAAAGACAGAGGCCAGCTGTGCTCAGACAGTGGAATGGACAAGAGTACCAAGCACAGCTGGGTAATCGATAAGAGCAGGGAGTCCATATTACAACCAAACATCTCTAGAGTCTGGAGCTGGCCTCCAGGGAGTGGCCTCTGGGCATGTGTTTTCTCAGGACCATGGAATGAACTGAGGAGTAACCCAGCTCAATGGGAGATGCCATCAAGCCTCCGCCAGTCGGTTTGCAGGCCTGAGGGTCAATGTTCCAGAACATCTTAAGAACAAGAGATGGATAGGGGTATGATAGAGCTTACAGGATAGACCCACCCCAGCACATAGTGCTCAAAGTCCCAGGCCACGTGCTACCGTGAATAGAGCAGCCCCAGGCATCCTTCAGAGCAAGGGCAAGGATGCCACTCTGCTGCTTCCCCTATTGCCACTGAGGCAGCTACTGCCACTGCTGCTCAGAAAGCTGGAGCAAAAGCAGCCAGGCAATCCCACACTCTGGGTGAGGGAATTGAGCAAGGGAGTTCCACAGTGGGGCTTGGTACTGCCCACCCACCTTCAGCTCCTGCATGGTCATCTCCTTGCCGTGTTCCTTGCTGCTCTCAATGAGGATGTCCAGGGCATCCGAGTAGTCTTTGCCCTGGGTACACTGCAGCTTCTCACGGATAGCCTTCTCGAGGCCCTTCTGAAGGATCTGCCGAGCTTGGATGCCCTAGGGGAAAGTGGATCGTCAGCTCTTCCCAAAGGCAGGACTCTCTCTAAGCCTCCAGAACATAAGAAAGGCTCCAGTCCCATCCCATTGCCACCTCTGCCCTCATCTACCTGTTCCTATGTCCTGTGCTCCCTCCCAGCACCTGTCCAGCACCCTCTTTTTGCCTGCATGGGATACTCACCCTTCGGTAGCCACTGAAGGGAAGGTCCAAAGGAAGAGAGAAGACATTATCCACAAACTGCTGGTAAACCTCAAAGAGATGGCCCAGGTCCTCCTCAGGGATGCTGAAGCCCAGCAGCACACGCACGGCCATTCGGAAGGTAAGTCGCTGGGCCTCCTGATATACATTGATGGCCTCCGGCTGGCTACTCCACGCTCTAAGTGTGTCCTGGATTACCAGTTGGATCTTGGGCAGGTAGCTCTCTAGCGCCTCATGGCTGAAGATCTTGGAGAAGACCTGAAGGGCCCAGAGGCAGGTGGTAAGGGACCTGCAGCCAGGGGGAGTGCTGCCCACACTCCTCCTACCAAGCTCCCTGAGGGTGGCCCAACCCAGATCTCTGTGCAGTTCCCTGCACTGAGCTATCACTTTACCGCCTGTGTCTGTGAGAGAGCGGAAGGCTCTCCAAGCCTTGGGCCACCACAAAGGCTAGGGTGGGGCCACACAAAGGAAGGGACTTTCTGAGTCCTAGGACCTTGGGCAGAAGTGTCAGGAGGGGGGTTCACAAGTGTCTGTTTCTAGCACACATATGGCTCTCCTCTGCTCCACTATGGGCCAGCAAGAGAACCTATCGCGAGATAGAAAACAGGACTTTCTAGGGACCCAAACTGTCATCAGTCCCCAGGTAATGACTATGGGTGGAGATTTTAGGATGTGTAGAGGCTGAACCATTCAAACATCCACTGTGTGGACAGGCCTAGAGGCAATAGTGTTCTACCCAGGATATCGCAAAGTCAGACCTTTAATTCTGAACATCTTCTAGGACTATCAAGGGTCCCTGTTCCCATCTCCTGGCCTTGCACCCATCCCCCTGATTGGCTGGGCAGTGCCCTGCCTCCACCCCAACATCAGCATGTTTTCACACATGATGGCCAAGAGAGGGAGGGTGTCTGTTTATTTACTTACATCCTGTGGGTTTACTTATATCCCCACATACAAATCCAGAGCAGGAGGCACCCCCAGAGCTGGGGAAAGAGGAAGAGTGCAGGCAGGACGCCCACCCGCCCGTGCGCGTGAAACCACACAATCACACGGCCCTCCCGTTTGCCCCCCAAACACAACCACCGCACAAGCTGTAAATGTGAGAATTTCCCCTGCAGTCAGCTAATGGAGGAAAAGGTAAGATTTTCCTGGCCTGTGCCCTGCATGGCTAATGGGAGGGCTGGTTTGCAGAAATAACAGTGCTGGCCCTTCAGTGGCCCAGCCATTTCACACAATAGCACTTTCATTCCCCGGTTCCCAGTGGGCAGAGGGAGGGGAGCGAGGCCAGTGAGGGCTGGAGGACCATGCTGCCCGGGCAGTTTCACCGCCAAGAAACAGCCTAAAGGAACAAGGGTGACAGGGGGTCTTCTAGGTCACTCACACCTTGTCCATTTTGGGGGGTTCTGGAGAATTTCCTGGCAGGGGGCTCCAGAGGAAGACTATATTGGATGCTGGAGCCCTTGTCCTGGTATTCTTAGAAGCAGGTTCAGCCTTCGGCCAAGGGGTCTTAACGGGGAATGGAAAAGTGGACCCTTGCCCTCAGGAGTCCAGTTAGTGACTACAGACCAGAAGAGGGTTCTACAGAGAACAGAGCTCTGTGGGGTCACCAGGAAACAATGGGAGGCCCGGAGGAAAACTCCTGGTGACAAAACACAGTGAAGAAGCCAGCTACCGGGTAGGAGGGGACAGCAAGGTCACACTGGCTGAGAACCAGCAAACTCCTGGAAATGGGATAGGGTAGGAAATGGCCCAGTGGAGATCTGGGCCCAAAGATGGCATGGGCAGGAGGGACAATATCACCAGAACCAGACAAAGCCAAGCAAGTAATCGGGAAACAGCAAGAAAATGGTAAGGAAGATCAGATTGGGTGTCCAGAGAGGCCTAACTTATAATAAGGGATTTGTCAGTGTGTGTCTAGGGTCATGATGCCTACCCTTTGACTACCCAAGATATCTCTGGGATGTCTTCACGACACAGAGCATCTTAGACCCTGTTCTACTTTCTCAAGAAGAAGCCCTTCCCAGCAGCACAGCCTGGCACCCCATACCTCACACTGCACCAAGGCCCTGGGGAGCCAGCACAGGCTACCCCAAAGGCTGACAAAAGAAGGGCTTTCTGAGAGGGGCCCACTGGGATAATGGGAGAGCCCCTTGTGCCCCTTAGTTTACATTCCCTGCGCCATCTAGCGACGGCTAACTGAATCACTTCTCTGGCCTGAGGGGCCCAGGAGGGCAGGCACAACCCAGAAAGACATGGAAAGGTCTGGGGCTGTGGCAGGGGGTCCATACTTGTCCCCAAGTGGGAAGGGATCCTGAGAAAGGCCAGAAACCACGGCCACTCTCCCCCTGGAGCCCCAAGAAGAATAGTGAAAGATCAGGCTCTTGCCTAGACCAGTCTCTGGCTGGCCACGCCTCTGCGTCCAGTTTCCCCATTGGTTTTCTGAAGAGTCCATCTAGATGTTTCTAAGTCCCTTTCTACCCAGATGCTCCCCAGTTCCCTCCTGCTCCCCTTTGAAAGGTGGAGAAAGCATAGGCATGAGGACCAAGCAAAGGCGGTTAGCAAGCATTCTAGAAGCAGCCTTTGCTCAGAGCCTCCAAGTCCATGGCCCTGCCTCTGGTTCAGCTGCTCTAGAGATTCAAGGGCCTCCCAGGTTCTGGGACGACGCCAGGTCTGCATCTCTGGGTCTGTGCCCAGGGCTAACAAGGCGGGCACTTCCCAAAGCGGGGCAGCCCAGAAACCACCAGCCACCTCGGAGGACAGCAAGAGGTGCCTGCCAGGGCAGGGAGAGGCCTGGGCCCCATCAGCTTGTTGGATCTGAGGCTGCTGGCCACTGGGGTCAGGCCTGGGGCACAGGGGAAGGTGCCTGGGAGCGGCTCAGTATGAAGACAGTTCTGGCCCAGGAGCCCTGGCCCTGACCACAGGCAACACAGTGGCCAGGTTGTTTTGTGTTTCATGGGGTCTTCCCTGGGAATTCCCAGAATGAAGCCAAGAATGCCACACAAATGTCCATGAGAAGCAGCCAAACCCCAATAGAGCTCTGCCGATCAAGCAGCAGGTATGGACTTGGCAAGGGAATGGGTGCAGGGAGGGCAAAGACAGAGGATCCTGGAAGAGACTTCAGAATGCCTACCCCAGTATCCCCATAGACTCACAAGACAGCCTGGAGGGAGGACTATTCTTAACATCCCTGAAGAACATTCCCTGGCCCTTTCCATCTCCCCAGTAACACAGTTATCTCCCTTGTCTGTCTCTCCCTGTGGATAAAACTTGATTGCATAGAGCCTAGAGTGTTCACCTTGGCTTGTCCAAGCCTAAATCCTCCCTAATTGTTCTTACAGATGTCTTCTCTCCCAGCCAGACTTTCTCTTGCCTCTAATCTGGTGTCTCTGGGAGGGGAGGTGACCTTGTAAAAGCCCACAGCTCCACAGAAGCAGTACCCGCCTGATCAGCCAGCAGTTGAGGGTGGATGGGCAACTCGACGGGCAGCCACAGCAGCGGGCAGGGCCTGAGAGGGAGCCCACTGCCCAACCAGTGACTCAGCTGAGGAGGAATGGAAGCTGCTGCCCAGGAGGGGTGGGGGCCAGGCAGGCCACCCAGCCAAGCCACCGGATCCTCGGCCTGTGGAGTGGAAAGAATAACGGAAGGCCGGCAGCGGTCTGCAGAGGGGCGACGCCAAGGTGTGTACTTTAGATTCCAGTAAGGAGGGGGACCAAAGAGGGTGTCATTCTCCAGTTGTCTGCAATGCCACCTGGCTCCCCTTCACCTACGTCTGTCCTCACTCATCCCTTCCGGTCATACAGGGTGAGCCAAGCAGCCCCCTACACTACCTGCACATGTCTCCCTCCCCATGTGGGTACCCTGCTACCTAAACTCTGCCACAGGCCCCCAACCAAAGTACTGGAAGGGTGGGGAACAATTGGCTGCCCAGTTGCTTACCATCTTCCAGCTCCAAACCCCCCTTGGAAAGCTGAGAGCCAAGGGAAGGACTTTGGAACATCATAGAGTACTGTCTTCTCCCTGCTGTAAGGATCCTTAAGGCCCTGGTTCACACCAATCTTTTAGGCTTGGGGAGCCCAGGATGGCTACAATGAATGGCATCAGGGCTCAGGGCCAGAAAAAGACTCCAGCCAAGCCTCCCCTCACCACACCAAGGTCACATTTGCTTTTCAAAGCTCGCAGGGTGAGGGGCTATCAGCAGGACAAAGTGGGACTGCAAGGAGACATCAGGGGAAGGACAGAGAACGGAAGGAATACAGGAAACAGAAGCCCCCACACTCACCTTGTCTGCTTTCCTGCACAAGGGCAAGCAGGGGGAGGTGCCCATACCCAGACGCCCTGGCAGCTGGCCTGGGCTTCCTCCCCCACTGACCTTCAAAGAGATCCACTCCTGCCACCCGCCTTCTCGGCAGCCCCTGGGCCCACTTGCTGGAGCTACCTTAATTTCTGGATGAAGGAGTTCGTCTAGCAGGACAAAGGCTTTGTTCCCTTGCGGCTGGGCTGTCCGGCTATGCTACCTACCTCCCTATGGACGCAGAAGCAGTTTGAAGCTTCTGCCCTGAACCAAGCCTGGATCCATGTGAGCATGTCCATGGCTATAGCCTGTGTGATGAGCCAGAGGTATCCAGAGCCTAGTAGGGCTGGGCTGGCCTCCCCCATGATTCTATTACTATCGATCACTCTGGGCTCTGCCCACCTGCTGGACAGGAAACCGGCTTTGCACTCCATGGGCTCTTGGGTCTCCTGGATCTCAGTGCTAAGACCCAGCTCCATCTACAGAGAAACGTGGCTGGAGAGCAGGAGGCTTTCCAGAAGAGCTACCTTCTTTTTCTCTCTTACAACTTCTTACCCCTACCTCCTCATCCAGACTCCACCCATCCTTCCTGGGCAGTTGGCCAGCCCCTCTGTACAAGCTGTCAGATAGGATCCTCTGCCCCAGGTTGGGAGGGGTTTCAAAGGAAGAGTCAAGGAGGGAGCATGAGGCCTGGCTTCCAGGGGTGATGCAATCAGCCTAGGGGGACACTCTGGAGTTCTGCATGCAGCCCCACCCCTGCTAGCCCTAGACCACCAGGGCAGCCAGGGCCAACATGTGGAGTGCATGCAGGGATGCCTGTGAGAAGCCCTCTCCCGACACATCTGGCTAGACCTCCCAGAGAAGGGGTAGTCACCCACCTCGATGGAAACAGTGACTCTTCTAGTTCTCAGCCAGCCATGTCCCAGCACACCTGGGCCCCACTTCCTGCACATTCATCCTAACCAGGCTGGGGCGTGGCCCTCACTGTAATGTGAGCTGCATTACCCTCACTCTGGCCATAAGGTGCCCTCCAGGCTTTTGCATCTTCAAAACTGACCTATCTCTTCAGGGCAACATGGCCATTCAGAGACATGGCCCCTGTGTATTCAATTCTTGTCCTTCCTATCAGGTTCTACTTCCTGAGGGCAAGGATCAAGCTCCCCACTTCTTAGTACCTATGAAATTCAGTAAACAGGATCCCAGATCACATTTCAGGGTGACTTGAGAAGGATCCTACCTACGTGACCACCATAAAGCAAGCGTGCATACAGAAACCCCCTCTGGATTTTGTTTCTGGAGCTTGGGTCAATATGTTCTGGCCTCTGACCACTCTCTATCCCCAAGAGCAAAAAGGCCAGGAGCTCAGAAGAAGGGACTCCCCCACAACTCCCCAGGCACACCATTCATCTGTCCCGTTCCCTTCCTTGTCCCCTTGCTTCAGATGGACAATGTGGACTCAGACCTTGGCTTTTCCTGTCCAGGCCTTTCCCACCTGACTCCTGGAAGACAGGGCAACTGTAAGAGCTGTAAGAGCTGTAAGAGGGAGAGCTTTCACTGCATTGGCCAAAGCCAGAGCCCTGTGTGAGCTGAGCCCTGAGGGGAGCTGGGCCTCACTCTGGTCCTGGTCAAGACTTTTTCCTTCTTCTCAGCACCTTGCCCCACCCCAGCTTCCTGCAGCCCCAATAGGCAGGTCCTGGTAGTGCTGCAGGCTAATGTTGCAGGCTGAGTGATGACTGGGGGTTCAAATCTCAGTCTAAATCATAGATCCCTCTGCACCAAGCCTCTGAAGGGAAGTAAGGAGACAGTAGCTTGGAGTTGGATTCCCAGAGATCGCAGCTCTCTTTCTCTTTGCTCCTTGCAAAGAAGCCTTGATGGGGTCTCAGAAACTCAAGGGGAAAACCTCTGCCCCCAGCCCCGCCCCCATTTGCCAGCAAGCTGTGTTAACTGCTGCCAGCATCCCATCAGGCCTTCAGAAGCCCTTATGTAGAATTCTTGGGAGACCTGCACATCTTCCTTTGAATTTTTTCTCGTGTGTGTGTGTGTGTGTGTGTGTGTGTGTGTGTGTGTGTGTGTGTGTTGTGGTTTCTTTTGTGCCTGCTAAGGAGAACGACCCTTATGGGACGGTTCAGAGAACATCAAAGCTCAGAAGCTGCATCAATGATTGTCCCACTACTCCCCAGTTACCCAGACCATCTAACAGTAGGGCTGTTGGCAAAGGGATTGATCCCCGCGGTCCCGTCCACCCGTTTCCTTGTTCCAGTGCTCCTCCCCAAGGCAAGAGGCCCCCTTTTTTCTTCTTAGGTTCCAAACCTGAATGAGTCCTCTGACCCAATGGAAAAAACAGAGTGAAGGAGCCCTGCAGCCTCCCTTCTGGCGGCTTCCAGCCCAAGGCCGGCGCCCCGCCCGCCCGCCGGCCGGCTCAGCCTTCGGGTTACTGCAGTTCAAACAGCACGTGCCGCCCGCGCTCCCAGCCCAGCGGTGGCGGCGGCGCAGCTGGAGGGGGCGGGGAGGCGTGCTGCTTGCGCTCTGGCTCGCCCGCTGCGCGTCTCTGCTCTAGCTCGGGAAATCCACCGGATAAACACCCACTTTCTCTTCCTCTTTCTGGAGGCTGGGTGAGCTTTGAACCTCAGCGCACCTAGACTGCTCTCCCAGCCCTTGTCCTCCCCGCCCCCACCGGCCTGCATGCCAGCCAGGGCAGGGGCCCCAAGCCCACCCAACCTATTCCCGGGGCTAGGTCAGGAGACCGCTGCCCACAAGGTATCTCCAGTCCTGCAACACACGACAGAATCGCCTTCCAGGCAACCTGTGGCTGCTCGGCCAGGTTTGGTTTTAGCATGATCGGTCTTTGGGGCTTTATTGGGGGAAACTTTGAGAAATAGGGTTGAGGAGTGGAGGGTGGAACAGCCCGCCCCGCCCCCTTCTTTTTTTTTTTTTTCCCAGTATTGTGGCGCACTGAGCAACCGCATCCATCACTGCAGACCCCACACGTACAAGCTTTGTCCAGACCATATCCAGGCAGGCCCCACTGACCTTAGTGGTGCCACCGTGCAGTGGGCCAGCTGGTCAAAAGGTGCATCAGTGTGGATCAAGAGGAGGCCCAAGCCGAGCCCGGATTATGGCAGGAAACCCTCTAGGCAGGGAAGCTCAGATTTCTGTGCTCCTTACCCGAGAAAGGCAAGGGTCTGCGCTCTTACCTTGCGCTTGTTGCGGTGGATGTCGCCAATGGAATTGGCCACCGTGTTGGGGCCCAGTAGCACACGTGCGCTCCGCGGCCATTCGGTGCTCACTAGCTGGTGTTCACCCAGGAGGATCTTGCGCACGTTCTCCGCACCGGTCACACGGATCAGCGGCCGACCAAGCAAGTGTGTTTTGAAAACGTTGCCATACTTCTCCCGGCGCGACGACTGGAAGTCGGAACCCTGCGGGAATACACCAGAAGCCTCTCAGGGCTCACGGAGGATCTTTGATGCCCTTGCATCCAGCCCCACCCTAGGCACCGGCCATCCGGTTCCTGTCATCCCCCAACATTCAACACAGGCGCACATGTACCACACACACACACACACACACACACACACACACACACACACACTTATGGGTTTTATTTTTCACGGCGTGCATTAGGACTGGGAAGTGGGACCTGAAGAGTAATAAATAATGCGGGAGGACTGAGATGCAGAGGCACCCAAGGAAGGCTGTTTTTGGTAATGGTTTTTTTTGGGGGGTATCCCCGACGACTGAACCTGAAGCTGGAGCCTGCTCCCCCACCCCTGCTCGGCAGAGTCTCTCGGAATAAATATTTCCAGGCTCTAGGCCACGGGCTGGCGAGACCCCGCAGGGTGGCCGCAGGCCAAAGATTATTTATAGCGGCGAGTTGTGCATGCCCGAAGGCTGTCCCCAGAGAAGGGGGTTGGAGTTTCCTCTCTGCTCCGGTGTGGCCCTCCGTGGGCTCCGCAGGGTGGAGTCTTGGGCCCAGAGCCATGACTCTCTTGAAACATTTCTCCTGGGAATAACTGGGACGAACTTTTGTCACCGCCCTGAAATTTGGAATTGGAGCACCAGGAAGGTGCTTCTGAGGGGCGGTGGGATGAGGCGCGGTGACCCGCGCAGGTAACTGGATCGCGGGGCCCTGACCGAGCCCTGTGCTCCACGTCCAGCTGCCTGTAGTGCCGGAAACCTTCATAGTATTCGCCACCCAGCCCGCCTTAACTCTTCTCCCGCCAGGGTGCACCCGGTGCAAAGAGGCTGAGAGCCACCTGTGCAGTCTCTCCCGCCGGACTGCAGAACTGTGGCCGGGGCTCCCGCCTTCGTGTTCTCTCAGGAACGCGTCGTGGCTCCCTCCACCCGGAGACAGAACGCTCCCCTTCTCCCAGGTTGTGCCCCCCGCCCCACTTTCCTTTCTCCAAGGGAAACTATACTCCAGTTAGAAGTGAACACGCCCCAGATGCGAAAAGTGACTACAGAACCCAGATTCCTAATGGCTTTTCCACATGCTTCTGGGCCTGGCTCGCGACAGGGAACCCCCGCGCCACCTGGAGGGGCTGAGTCGGGGACGCCCGCATCCAGACGCCGGTTTAGACGGCGCCGGCTCCTTTAAGAGAAGTCGGGCGGAGGTGGGGTGCGGCAGAGGGGGGCACCGAGCGGGGTTCCCGTCTTCGTCTGCCGCGCAGTCTCCCTCGGTCGGTCTCACTCCGTCTCTCCTCTCCCGTCTTTTCCTCTGTTTTTCTTTTCTTTCGACACAAAAGTTGGGTTGTGAATTTTCCGAGGTCGCCGCCGCCTCGCCCCCACCCCCGCCTCTGATCTGCCTAACTATAATTAAAGTGCGTTTTTTGTGGCTTTAATAAAGAGTTATTTGTCCGCCGTTTCCACGGCCTTCACAAAGAGGACTTTCATAGGGGCGGCCGTTCGGGCCGCGAGTCCAATTTATACAAAAATGTATTTTTAGCCCTGGGCTCTGTTTAGATGGTGCTTAGTGGAAACCGAGAGCCCTTGGAGGTCCCCCGTAAAATCTGATAAATTACTCCGAAAAAAACACCGGATTCGGAGGGTTCGCTTTAACTCCTTAAGCACCCATGATCCCTACCCCCTGGGGATCTGACCCCCAGAGACACGGATGCCCTGGCGAAGGGTGCCTCTCTGACTTCTGTGCTGGCTGCACCACACCCGCAAGGGCCCTTGTGGGACTGAGAAAAGGGGCAAGGGACATGGGGGAGGGGCAGGTCAGGAAACAGGATGGGAACGATGATTCCGAGGCTTTGCTTTAAGCAGGCGGGAACCGTTGCCCACTTGACTTATTTTATTTTCTAAATTCCCGGCTAAAGCCTGGACCACCGCCACAGTTAACCCTTTAAATGTGGAGACAAGAAACAGGCAAAAGAGATTTTGTCTCTAAGGATCGTCCGATTGGTTGAAGTGACCCCACCCAATTGGACAAGCAACCCCCCCCCAAAGAGATGGTCCTACTGTGAGGCATGGAGAAATGGGGGGAATCTCTCAAGCCCCCTTCATACCCACTCCTCTCCTGTCACTCGGCCCCCGATTGGGCGCAGTGGGGGGGGTGTCTGTATGCCCACGCGCACTAACTGCACGCGTCTATTAATTTCAAGCCAAGCTTTCGCACGTCTAAACCCATAGGTCCCCTCGCACGCGCGCTCATCTTTCATTTCTCCTTTTGAGGGGTTGGGGTTGTCTGTTTAGGGATATTCAGGCTGTCCTTAAGTCTGTGAAGCGATCACCCGCCTGACAAACTCACCTCCCGCTGTTACACCAGAGGTGCACCCCCCCAAAAAAAAACCCTGGGGTGTATCAAATTGCAAAAGCGATTGTCTAGCACTGGACGAGGTTAACTCCAGGTTAATCTGCCTGCTACTTACCTGGGTCTGGTCCTCAACGAGCCTGGCCCCAACTGTCACCAGAGTGGAGTTGTGAGGCGTCCAGTTGCATAGGCACACTCTGGATTTCTTGCATAGCTCTCCCAGTTTCCCTCTGCTAAACCGTTCCCACCCAATAAGCAAACAGACCCTTTTCCCCGAAAGCTGAGAGCTCTCAGCTCTCTTGCCTCGAATTTCCCTTAGGTTACCTTTTTCCTCTCCCACCATAACACACAGACACAGACGCGCGCGCTCACGCGGACACACACACGCACACGGGCACACAGAGTTGTGAGTAGCACCTTATATCAGCCCAATTGTACCTGAGCCGGATACACTGCAGGATGTTGCCCGGGTCTTAGTGTGGGCTATTCCAAGCTGCCACTGGCCCTCTCTTTTACCTCTCAGCGTCTAGGTAGATACCCAGGACGCTAACACAGACTGGAGCTCAGAGACAGAGACGAAAGCTAAGTGACACCGGTGACTCCAGACTTGGGCGCCCGTAGCCCAGGCGCACCATACTTGGGAGCCGTCTCTGCTCCTCACGACCCCAACCCCCCATCATCAGCCCTCTGAACTAGCTCACCGGGCGCCCGAGTACTCCGAGCCGCACTGCTGGAGAGCTGGGGAAACCCAGGCGGCGCCGACTGAGGCAGAGAGGGGCGGGGCGGGGACCGGCTAGTCCAAGCGTCCGAGTGTCCGAGCTACCGGCGCCCCCTGGCCGGGCACCCGTGGCTAGCGGACTCCAGGAGCAGCTGGGCGAGAGTGCGCTTACCTGTAGCAACCAGTGGCCGGTCTCTCCGATGAGCGGGAATCCCATGGAGCCCTTGGGGATGGGCAGCTTGCAGCTCTTGTCGCGGGTAGCCGCCCAACGCAGCTGCCACAGCTGCTGCGACACCGCCAGCAGCAGCGTCACGGACACCAGGCACGCGGCGAGGGTGGCCAGCGCCGACACCAGCTCCAAGCCCTCAAAGAGCATGTTGGCGGCCGCTCGGGGGATTGGCTGTGCGGGCCGCGAAGGGGGAGGGGAGGGCCGGACTAGAGTGACGGGGGAGGGGAGGCTGCGGCCGGGGGTCCTGGCACCTCTCGGGCGAAACCCAGGAGATGGGGCCCAGAGAAGGGGTCTGAAGGCTGCGAGGTGATCGAAGAGAGGGAGGAAAAAGATTTCCTGGAAGAAGAGAGGAGACACGAGGCGACTCGAGGTGTAACTTTGTTTGTTTGTTTGTTTGTTTGTCCCTTTACGCGGGCTTAGGGCTGCTCTGGGGAGGTGAGATGGAGCTGAGTCAAGCTGGTGAGCCTGCTCTCCCCTCGACCATCACACTAGAAAAACTTTGGAAAACTTTATCCACCAGAAGCCTCTCGGAAGCTCCCTACCCTGCTCAAAGCGAGGGGAGCAAAAAGAAGGGGAACCGAGAGCTAGCGGAAAGTGCGGTCAGTTTATCAAATGTATACCTTCAAAATTTCTAGGTGCATAAAAAGGAAAAAAATCGGAATGCAAAAATTCCAACGAACCCAGAAACTTTGGGGGCTTGGGAAAAGGCTCCCCAGATGAGACGAGTGCAGAGGCTGGAGCCGCCGCGGCACCCGGAGGCGGGCGAGGCGGGCGCGTTGGCCCGAGCGCGAGCGCGGAGTCGGCGGGACGCAGCCGGGAAGGGACGCAGCCGGCGACAGAGCCCCAGGCGGGCGCTGGGGCGGCGGCGGCGGAGGGCGGGAGGGGTGAGGCGGGGTGGGGTTGGGGGGGGGAGGTGGAAAACCCGAGCCCGGCTATCTATCAATTAAGAAAAGGCAGTCTGTCCCGGGACGCAGTCTCTCGGCTCTGGCTCTGGAGTTGCTGTTGGGGAAAAGAAAAGAGAGGAGGGGGGAAAAAAAGAAAGAAAGAAAGAACAGCAAAAAGGGATGAAAGAGGGGGAAAGCAGGAGGCAGGACTTCAGGGCTGGTGGTTTGAAAAGCGTCTCTCAATCTGATTTGATCCAAGGCAAGGCGATGCGTGTGTTTATATAGAGGCGGGAGGCGCGCCGTGGGCTTGCGGCCAGCTCCCCCCCTGGGCGCGCTCACAAAGCGGGAGGCGTGGTGAGAGGCCGGCCGGCTGCCGAGCGTGTGAGCTCCCGCCGGCCTCCCGCCCAGCCGCCCCGCCCGCCGCCCGCCGGGGACCCACTTGTAGGCGCCTCAGGATCAAACTCAGTTCACCTCGCGCCTTCTTTTCCTTCTCGCCCGCGTCTCACCGAGTCCAGCACCTACGGACGGATGAGATGAGACACACACGCCCCCGCGAGCGTGCACACACACACTCCTGCGCGCGCGAACACACGCACGCGCGCGCGCACACCATACACAGACACACACACAAACACACACACTCCAGACACACGAGCGCGCGCGGTGCTCACTCTCTTGGTGGCCGTTTGGCTACTAAACTACTTCGCTCCCGCCTTTTCTCCCTCCTGGGTCCCCGAACCCGTCTTCCAGCTTCCCGCAGTCCCCTCGTGGAAGGCCCTTGTCGGATTGCCCACATCGGTTGGGGCTTGCCAGAAGTCTACCGGTAGCCTATCCTGCGGAATTCCGCGGGTCCCCGCAGGCTGCAAGTACCACGTAGGTGTCATTCCCTCCCAATTGCCTCTAGCCAGGGTCCTTATTCCTAATCTCTGCTTCTCCAAACCTCAGTTGTCAAGATCCACATGTCTCTTACCATAGAAGGCCTGGAGGGTCACCAGTCTTGTGTCTGTCCCGGGCTACAGACGCTGAACTCATCTCCAACACCTCTGAGGACACCCTCCCACCCCAGTCGCCCCCCCCCCCCCAACCCACCCATTCTGTAGTTACAAGTCAGCAGCCAGCATTGTCCTAACTAACTGCAATACTGGTCCTGGAAAACGTCCAGTGCCTGAGACAAATGCGGTGGCCCCTGCAACCAGGAGGCCTGTACAAACGTTCATTGATACGTTTGAATAAGTAAACATGTTTGTGATCCCGGCCACCTTCTCAGAGCCTTCTCAGAACCGGCCACAGGGAGCCCAGAGCGTGAGTCTGTGATGTGTGATTGTGGCTCCAGGCCGCACCTGCTTGTGCTCCCGCCTGACGTCGACCCGACGTTGGTGGAGAGTTGGGAGTCTTTCCTTGTGTCTGCGCATCCATGGATCTGCCAGTTACATGACCTCTCCTGAGAGCCTGGGACGGAGTGTGTACACCAGCGCCCCGACATCTGCCTGAGTAGCGCGTAGCTCTCCCTGTCCCGTGCCTCCAGTTTTTCCCCAGCCCTCTTGTTCTCTCGGTCCACTCCCACACTCCCAGAGAAAATAATGATAAATCATCCTAGGTTTAGTGCTGGGTTTCTAAAGAAAACTAACCCACCCTTCCCTGTTAATCGTCCCCTGCATCCAGAACTTGATCTGCATTTTCACTAGCAGAAAATGCACTAAAGTCGCTAAGACGCGCGCTCCTGAGCTGCTACGAGAGCGCTGCCTACTCTGACAAGGCGGGCAACTGGCGTGCAGAGCTCGGCAAGCTCCGCTCAAGCTCCTAGTGCTGGGTCGGCTCACGCTCACTCTTTGCCCTGGAACCCCACCTGGTGGATAGTTGTAGTACTACATCTGCAGGGGACTGCATCCTAGCTTCCTTCACTAATTGTCTTTTCTTAGCCAAACACCAACTCCAAATTGCCAATTTGAAGGCATTCCTAGAGGTCCAGTTTAAAAATACCTAGGCTGTCCACCCCACAGAACAGCTGGAACTTAAACACTCAGTAAGTTCTATCAGGACCACTGTAGCCCCAGAAATAAGAGAGCCGGGGGTGTCCATGTAGGGGAAATTTGACTTTACACGACTGCTTGGCAACCAAAAGTAATGAGGCCAGCAGCATTCCAATCTCTCTGTCATGGTGGCAGAGTTTGGTTGGGGAAATTTCAGGGGCCTTGCTGTCTTGAGGTACCCTAAAAATATGGCCAGGTTCCCAAAAGTGCCATCTTCCATTTTGCCTGATGAAACAGGTGAAATGGCTTTCGGGAAAACCCACCACTGGGCCATCCACCTGTGGGCAGAGGGACACTGGCATAGGCAGACGGAGGTACACAATGAGGAGGCATGGAAACGGGTACTGAACCTATATATACAAGGGCATACACACGAGAGCCTATCCATAGCCAGGAAGTGCCCCATTTAAGCCACCAAACCGAAACCACAGGACCTGCCCACTCTGGGGTCAAAAGTCCACTCTCTCCAGTACGTCCTCCCACTCTCTGGCTTTGGGAACTCTTCTGCTCCTCTATGCCTGGCCTTTCTTCCCACTCAAGTGTGAAGTGGGGCGGGAACATGGAGGGAATTCTAACTCCTTGGGGCTGAGCTGCCAAGTGAGGTCCTGGAGAGTGTCCACGGGGACACTTAGCCCACAGCAACAGCTGCAGTATTTCCTAATGGGAAGTGTCTCTCTTCACGTCCCAGTGAGTACCGAGAAGAGAGGCAGAAACACAAATGGTGTTATACAAGGCTTCTTGGAGGTGCTGCGGGCTGGCCCGAAGGTTGTGCCTAGCACTTGTGAAGAGGCTAGCTGCACAGAGGCAGGCCACGAGCCACCTCTGCTGCTCACATTCACAGAAGAGACAATTTGGTAGTGCCCTGGGTGGACTTCTGATGCTCGTGCCAGATGGAGGCTCACTGCACAAGCCTTTCCTAAAACAAACCTTTGACCATATTAACCCTGAATCCTGGTCACGGGTACACACTGTCTTTGACTCCAGGCTGAGTCTCTGTACAGACAAGCATTTCCAGGTCCACCCTAGACCACAGAGTACAGCCTTTGCTTCCAGACTGTCCCTAAGCTAGGACTCAACCCAGAAGTCTCCTGAGGCAGGTTAGGGCTCTAGGTGAGAACACTTCCGTCATCGGGAACTTGAAATGATCTGCTTGTATCCAGATGGGCAGGCCAGTGCCGGTAATCTCTGTGTGGCACACAGAGTCCTCTCCTCAGTCCTGGTACATCTAGGGCCTCTAACTCTTGCCTGCAGTGCGGGGAAGCCTGGATTCAGGGAGTGTCCCCAAAGCGCCCCAGGTACTTTGAAATCAGCCAGAGCAAACGGGAACCTCAGTCAGGGAACACTGGGTAGAGGGAAATTCTGCCTAGGTGACCTTTGCACGGCTTGGTAGAGAGGCCTGAGAGAATGTGGAGGGAGGCCTCAAGTACTGTTTGAGTCTGAAGACAAGGAGCAAGGCAAATTCCTCTAGGACTCAAGAAGTCCCTGTGCTCAGATCTGTTTCAAGGCCCACTCCTCAGGACAGAAAGCTTTGTGCACACAGAGGGGACAGTGCCCCTTCCGTGCCCCTTCCGTGTGCATTCCCATTACCCAGCAGCTCCCTTCCACACACTGCACATGGTGCTGCAAGGTAACACCGTTTTTAAAGGAATTTGTATATCCGCTTGCTGAGAAAAGTGCCCAGTTTGCTCTACACCCTCTCCTACTAGTGCACATGTCCCCTGAATTGGGACACACTCTATTGGACAGAGGAAATCCTCCATTTTATACTCAGTTTGCATAATGTAGGCCCTGACTTTTTTCTTCTGGTTGATGCTTCAATTTCTTCACCCTAAAACTTTTCATTTCTCTAGCCAGCGATGAGTAAAAATGGGAACAAAGGGAAGCTGGGGACAAAGAGACCAGGCGATGGCGGTGGAAAGCATGCCTGGGCACTTAAGGACCAACTGTGCCTGCCCCGTGTCTCCCAGAGGTCTGGGACAGTGCATCCAGAAGGATAAAAGTGGCAACTCTACCCCAGAGTTCTCTCTGACTACCCGGCTAGACCCAAGGAGCTCTGGGGAAGCTCATCTCAACCGCTTCCCTTTCTCCTCTCTAGGGTCTCAGGCTGGCTCTGTTTTGTTCTAAGGTCCTTCTGCACCCTGCTTAAAAGGGCCCTAGTCCCTTGCCTGTAACAGTTCTGGGAAAGCAGGTCCTGCCCAACCCTTTTGTACAGCTTAGGTGGGAACTGCAAGCCCTGTAAATAAGAAGCGGCCCCTCGCCCTGGATTCATGCTCTTGCCCCATTGTTCTCTGTGCCTTTGCCCACCTTCCAGTCACTCTGTGCCCTCTCTCAGAACAGGCGCTACAAGGTCAGTGGTAGCCTTCGGGTGCCCAGAAACTCAAGGACAGGTTAGAGGACATTTCATGAGTATGCCCTTGCTCTTGAGGGAGGGGCTGGACCCCTGCTGTCCAATATATTATGAAAATCACCCCCAGTGCTAGGGACTGCCTCTCTGGAGCCTGCAGAGCTAAATGCTCAGTTCTCCAGCATGGCTTTAGGGTGTCTGGCTATGCAGAGAACTCAAGGATCCCTTTCAAACTACCTCCTACCTGCACCCCACTACTCCCCAGACTCTTTGGAGGTGCCATCCTGTTGATCACTGCCACCAAGTCCAAGGGTGCGTTAAGTTTCTGCCGATTTATCACTAGGCCTTCCTTCCTTCCTTATTTTTCTCTGTCCCTTAGGAGACTTGCCCCCACCCTGCACCCACACCCAGGTACCTCCAGTTCTTTTCTTGATGTTTTTAAAAAATAAATAACAGTCCACATGCAAAAGGTTCAACCTGGCACAAGCCTGACCCCTCACTCCCAACTCCGCAGACAGGCCTGGCTAGAAGGAGCCCCTCACCCACCCACCTATAGTCCCCTGGGGAAGAACTTTCTCTTTTCCCTTGTAGGCAGCAAAGTCACTGCTCGTCTCACCTGGGGAGGCCTCAGCTCCAGACACCTTGCCCAGAAGAAACTATTATAGAGAAGTGGTAATCTCCCCATCCTCTCACATCAGAGCCCCCAAACCCAGACCTCCTTCTGCCCCACACCCAAACCCAGTCCAAAGCAATATGAAAATGGACTTGCCGATCGAAGGTTCAAGGAGCACAACCGAGAGTTGTGTCCGAAGGAAGAGCCTGCCCGATGGCGACGGGGTATGGGCAGTGCCCCAGGCTGGCTGTGGCTGGCAGGGACACTGTCGCAGCAATGGCGCTCCCTCAGACCCAGGGAGCCAAGAGCCCTTTATAGCCTAAAACCTGCCCTGGCACCGCCCACTGGGCGGCTGCAACCAGGGCCTGCAATGAGGGGAGTCGCTGGGAGCTGGGAGGGCATCTATCCCAGGACTTCAGGGCCAGGACCCATGAACAAAAGTCTGGGATTCCACTTCCTCCCACCCTAGGCAACTCTATGTCCTGGTATGCATATGAGCCTCTCTCTCTCTCTCTCTCTCTCTCTCTCTCTCTCTCTCTCTCTCTCGTGTGTGTGTGTGTGTGTGTGTGTGTGTGTGTGTGTGTGTGTGTGAGTGTGTGTGCGCCTGCACACACTCCTGCTTAAAGTCTATTCAAAGACATCAGATCTCTTTCCCCTGTGCTTTCTCTGGCAACGGTTTTTGAAAGGATGGGGACAGTAGTGTGTTTCTGCTCAGTTTATCAAGTTACACTTAGTGACAAAGGACTGAAGGACAATCAGGATCCAAGGAGAAAAAAGAAAGTGTGACAGGGAACCCAGAGCTTTTGTGGAAGGTAAAACACCAGCAGAAAAAGGCTGGACAGAACGTGAAATGGACCTGCCTGCACAGTGCTTGGCATTACAACCTGCTTCCTCCACCCTCCTCTGGAGCTGCGGAAATCCCAGGGCTCCCAGAAATACAAGTGTGCTGATTTGTAAATGGAACTCTGTTCACTTGGGCACAGGCTGAATCAGACAAGCCAGAGTGCAGCCTCCTCCCTCCTGGGCTGTCAGGATTCACAAGCTCTCCCTCCTGGTCCCTGCGCCAGGGGAT